TGGGACCCCTGAGAGCCGCACATGGGTGTACCTGTGGCTGTAGTAGGACAAGGCCATCTCCACTGCCACTCCCCTTCTCTCACAGGGAAGACAAACAGAAGCTGCACTCCTGGTGTGTTCTAACAACAGCTACAAACTCAGGTGAAAGCAATCTGCCACTGGAGCAAAATTTGCAGTATGCTGTTTCTTCTCTTAGGAAAAGACAGCTGATAAGAATCTTGAAGAATAGTACTACATTGTGTATCCAGAGAGAGGAGATCTGTTGTTCAAATTGTCATTCTACTTTTCTGTAACTTGTTTACAGTGATAGGCCAGCAGAATTGCAGTAGAATGACTAGTTCACAGTAATGGTGTTTCACCTGGACACAGTCAGCTAAAAGCTGACTCTAGCTACCTCCATTCCTTTAGAATACTTGTTTTATTAAGCAGTCTGATGCTATTCAGGAACCAGTCCTTTAATTTAGAGATTTCCCCCCTCTTCCAGTAGATCTGGACTTATTCATTGTGGTACTTGACTTTCTAAGTGATATTCTGCTGTTCAGATTTGTTCAGATATGTTCCAGTTTGTTTCAGTCTATAATTAAAAGTGGAACAGCAAACTATAAAATGTGTCAAGGCTGCTTAGTAGCAGATCAGGGTCGAGAGACTATACTGATTTGAATTCATTTTTGATGAGTTAAAAAATTAGATATTTTGCTACACCCAACTGCCTGCAATACAGGTCAATTTCTGATACAGAAAATAGCTGATTAATCCTGAACTTGATGAAAAATGTATAGCTATGTCATAAATGGGCTTAACAAATTTTGAAAACTAAATGTATTTTAAAGAGATTTTCAGATGATATTAGCTACTTCTCTACAAGGTGATGACTTTTCACAATCAGAGATAATCACGTCTGCATTAAAGTGTGGAGATGAAAATTTGAATAAATCAGTACTATGCCCATCAGTGGGCAAAGAACTAAGATTGCAGTCTGAATTTTCAACCCTTCAGCATCAGTTAATTTGCTGAAGTAGTTCTACTAACATCAAGTGCTCCTTTAAAGTTTCTCAGAAGTTATGCAGTTCTCATTTTTACCTTTGCCCTGTTCTCAAGCTTGTGTAAAGACTCTGAAGGTGAAGGGCCACCGAAATCTTAACATGACATCTTGTACATACTGCACTCCCAGAGCAGCTGAACAATCAGGCCAGAAGCTTTTCTCTGTAAGGGCAGGTGTTCACCAAATGGTTTGCTATCAGGAACAGTAACTGTTTAACAAATAATGCAGTAAGAAAGGCTCTTGCACTTAATTTCCGAAAGCAGCTCTCATGAACTTCATAGATACAAGTGTTTCAGAGGTTACTACATAAACAAGGATTAGACTGGTGGAATAAATGGAGACAGGTAGGGTAGTATGCAACATAATCCCTTGTTGGCTGGACATAACTTGCTGTACTTTCCACTGCTTCCATAGGAGATGGGTTTCTTAATTTCCTTTCCAGAATTTATAACTTTCTGGCGCAGTATCTTGTCTGAAAGCAAAGACCTTTGTGCATTTATCCAAAGAGAGGCATTGCTCTGTTCTTTGGTCTCTTCATTGTGTTTATCCCATGAAATTAAA